TGCCCAAGTATCGTTTATACGTCCCTAATCATTAGAGCCTGTTTTAATCAATAGCACATAAAGGCACGGACTCTCATTTCAGCTTCACACTAGTATCCCAGTATTGGGTGTCAGACTCTCACATGTTTGTATAGTGAGGAGTTAATTGTGTATTGGTGAAAAAGGAGAAATATTAATGCTATTTTGAACATATATATAAAGATAAAGTGTTTTGTAAAATTAATGTTCATATAAAGAGTCATAATCTATTCCAGGAATATATGAAAAGGAAAGAGCAGTAGCGACATGTCGTATCGTGCAATCTCATTATTCCTCTGAACTTACGTTGCGACACAAAAACGGGACCTAATTAAATTGCTATATAGAGGTACAGAGGTTTCAATAAACAATTAGTACTTCCCTTGTATTCATAAATGAATAAGAATAAGAAATATAGCCATGCAAATTTTGTAGGTGTAGAAAATATAATGTGGAACGCCCCAAGGGAAATAAAATGATGCATGTTAGTGTTGGAAATCGACAATCACACAAAATTAACAAAAGAGAAAAGAAAAGAGAGATTGACATGGTGATTTATCGTGGTTCACCTAATATAGGCTACGTCGAGCTTGTACTATATTTATCTCACTGTCACTCGTTACTAGTCACTCGATTTATAAGAAAAATATAAATAAGATTAGAAAATCCTAACAACAGCTATTCATGGGCCCAAGTCCAAACTATTAAGAAAATTATAATAAATCAGAGGCCCACAATAGTACCTAGCCTTTACGGGTCTGGAGGCGCTGCCTCTCGGACCCCGTCGGGCTGGCTCCCCTGGATCCCTGCCCACTCATCTGGGAGCAGGATCCCAGTTGCATTTCTACTGACGCCAACAACAAACCCTCATTATTATGCGAAGTATGAGCCATACCTAATAGTTAACATATAATAGATAGGAAAAACGGAGGGAGGATATATATTCTTCCATTTCAAGAATATTATTATTACTATTATTATTGGGATGAAAAATAATGCAAGTTACGGCACGAGCACATCACAAGTCTGTGTGTCCAAAACAAGCTGAGGCAGCAGAAGAAAAAATGAGTCTAATCTCATATAGCCTCTGCAACTGCAACACATGGGTCCAAACATCAGGAAAGGACTCTTTGAAAATGTGGTTGGGGTAGCATGGAGACTGAGAACGATGATAACAAAGTGTTAGGAAAGTTGTTTCCAAAAAAAAAAATGTTGGGAAAGTGATAAGGACTAAGTGCAGCTACAACAGTCATGAACCTCTCCTCTTTCTGCAATGTCTTTTTTTTTTTTTTTTTTTCTCTCAGTCTAGCGTGACTGTCTAACTGGACCTGAAATTATTGATTGTTATAACTTCTTTCGTCTCTCAACTCCTAAGGTTGCATTGTGCCCTTATGCTGTAACGTTTTTTTTTTCCACCCTTTTATCGATTATTCCAATAATTTATAATTCGTATAGTTATTGGTTTTTTTTTCTTTTTACTTTAGTATACTAATTCGTCTTATTGTCAGAAGTACTAAAATCAATTTAAACTGAAAGCAATATACTTGAATAAAAAAACATTTGTTTGGTCGTTTACTTCAACAGCTTCAAAGTCTACCACCATATCAAACGAGGTATAATATAACGAGAAAGTTATATTTATAAATTTTTTATTTACAAATTTTTATAAATTATACTATATTTGACTAGTAATATATTTTTGAGTAATGTATTAATAATCAGACATAATGTAGTTTGTAAAATAAAAATTTGTCAATATAATCCTGTATATTCTAATATAAGAATGTAAATAAAGAAATTATCTTGATTAATGTTCAACATAAATTAAGCGTAGGCCACAAAACGAGTCTTTTGGCTCATCACCCGAAACTGATTATAAAGTTAGCTTCTCATTTCGCGGCAATATACCTAGCACCCTAGTTAATTGATTAACAATAAATATATAAGTATTTTAAGGGGCTTTTCAATATAATAGTAAAAAGTTTTATTTTTGAGGGTTTTAGTGGGGAGAGGGGCCTAGGAAAGGGGTTGGTGGGGGCATATGAAAAAGGAAAAGCCTCTTTGAACTATGCCTAGAATTAGTGTGGGTTATATTTTGTATAGTATCCAATTTGTGATCCTAACATCCACGCCAACCAAGGGGTTCACTAGTATTCATGCTGTTGATTTGCCACTCATAGGAATTCTGAATTCCCCCATTAGGACATATGATACTACACCAACTACTACAATAAAAAATTTACTCATATAACAAACAAACAAACAAAACTATATTTACTTCATGAAGACCTTCCGCTTTTGTTTGATTATTTCTAACTAATCAGTAAAGTAATAAGCTTTTTGCTTATTATTAACCATCAATCCTACTTAATTTTACTGTTCACATAGCTTTATACATATAGACATGATTAATTTATATCATTGTAAGTTATATTTTCAATTTTAATTGTTGATCATATTTATATTTGACAACTCATTCATTATATATGTACATAAGCCGTTAACTATAATTAAGTATATCAATATTTAACAACTCACTGAAAATGAGAAACAAAAATTAAAGAGAAAGAAGAAAATGTTTACAAAGCAAATTTTGGGGCTACTCATATACACACAAAACAGCTTAAACATTACATCTGACGTCAACAGCATTAATTAACATATCTACGAAATGATTCATCGCACTCTGATATGGAAAGAGATTTTCTGGCTTCAATAGAGTCAGTGCCTTAAACTTAAATTGACAGGAGGGTTGCTTCTTTAGCATCATTTTCTCTCAAAATTCGACCATCTACCAAAATTATGTTTCATATTCACTTGACAATATGAGCTATATATATACCCATTTTTTCTTTGCAATTCACTCTTAAAGTATTAATGAAAGAGATACTAGCACGATGTATATAGAGATTAATATACGTATTATCACATTATAGAAACCAATATTTATATGCTTACTTTAAAATGATAATAAATTCTTCAGAGAAAGAACTAAAGACCCGTTTGGTAGAAGGATTTTTTTTTTGTTTTCCCGGGATTCCTTGGTTGGGTAAATAAGAATGCATCGTTTGGTGCAAGTTTTTTAAAATTTTTCCGGGAATCTGATTTTCCCGGGATTTTATTTTATGTGTAATTTTTTTTGAAAAAACCATCCAGGAATACCATTCAAAAGGTGATATTTTAGGATTTCCATGGCAAGGAAAATTTAATACAACTAAACATAGTCTCAAGAAAATTAACCCAATATTCTCGGGAATATGTTAGTCTACCAAACAAATTTTTGATAACATTCTCAGAAAACTCATTTTCTCATCATATTCCTGGAAATCGTGATTTCCGGATAAAAAAAATTTCTCCTCTACCAAACGCCCCTAGTGTGTTTGGTTGGGGGAAAATGTTGAGATAGATGGGTAAGTGAGAAGTGGGATAATTGGGTTGCTTTGTTTGGATTAGGGATTCTGACCATTTTGCTACCTAAATGAGATTGCAAGCGAAACAACATGGACGTCTAAATGAATAAGAAAGCCGGCTAAAGTATCTCTCTTGACATATGGTATTGTATGTTAGCTAGGTAAATGGTGTCTATAGGCAAGACTGCTAATGACAAACGTACCCTCCAACTGGTAATAAATCAATTTTATGAAATCATTTCAACTTTTATAACAGGGTTATTTTTGTAATATCATCTTTTTTTTTCATCTATATTTTACTTACAGCCAAACATAGACTTTATAAATGTTACATTATTTCTCCAGTAAAGTTTTTTTCCAACCAAACAACTTTTTTTTACATTTTTCTACCAAACTCACACTCTTCCTATTTCCCTATTATTTATAAGATTTCTCCTCAATCAAAGCATAGAAGTCCATCCTGACTGTTTCTTTTTCTTTCTATCCAATATTTTATCCTTGAACTGAACATAAAGCGGATATATAGTTAAAATTTACATAAAAAAATAGAAATAAGCATACTTCTGTCATTGTATAATTAATTACTGAGGGCCAATTGGGTACATTGTACTGAAAACATCACCCTATAAATATCATGCTGATTTTGTGAATACAATAACAACTGCATCATTATTGTTTGGTAGTGTTTGATAGGAGGATTATTTTTGGATGCTTGGAAAAGTGAGGGCGGGTTTTCTAAAATTTTATGTTTGGTAGCATATTGGAGAAAAGTTTTTCGGAAGTGTTTTTTTTTTCAGGATTCTATTTTGTATATATTTTTTAAATCAAAATACCATTGAAAAATATCATTAAAAAAATAATATTTCAGAAATTCCAAATAATAAAAAAATATGAATTAACTTTTCAGGAAAAAATAACCGTATCAGGCGAATAATGGTAAATTGATATTTGATACACAGAAGTCCAACTATCTCTGCTTCTGGGGTGAAAGATGATGTACGAACACACACATCATTGTTACCCTTTATGTCCTTGTACAATAAGATAGTAAAGCAAACCCCTAAGCATTTCAATAGGTATCAAAATTTGAAGGTCGCGATGTTAATAATTATCAGTTTGATCTTTCCTCAATTATATATGTGACACAATTCCCTTTTACTTGACGCTTTTTTGCAGTGTTATTTTCTTTTTATACACATTTTTATTAATCCTTCCTATTCATTTGATTTACAAATACCATTTAAGGCTCGTTTTCTGAAGGCCCTTTCACTGTGTTTAAAAATCAGGGGTTTGATGTTTTCCCAAAAATTTAAGTTATAGTCTGTTTCAGTGCATGAATAAGTGAGAATGGAAGATATCCCCACATTCCTGATATTATTATTAGATGTAAGGTCATAGTTATTCTTTCTAGTCTAACTCCATTTATTACCTTTGTCTTTTGCATCCATTCCTTTTCTTCATCCACTCAATGATGTTTGCCTTCCCCCCTCTACTATCACCTTTTGCCACTTAACTCTCTATCACCTTGTGCCTCCAATTAGGGTTTCCTCTTTAGGTGCTCCTCCTGTGACAGCCTTATACCTCTCCTTGGCTTAGGTTACTTTGTCTCCGGAGGGGAAAAAAGAGCAGCTTCTGAATAATCTCCAACAAGGGTAAAAAAGGTACTTCCCTTTTAATTCATCTGATCAAAGAAACCTACATCACAAACAGGTAATATATTTCATGTTCATGTGGCTTTCTTCTTTTCTCCTTTTCTTTAAGCATATATATAGTTCTTTTCTCTGTTTCAGTTCCTTTCAAGTAAAGTAAAGGTTGGATAGACAAAAATAATCCTTTGTTAGGGCTTTTCAAATTTTTTTTTTTTAATGTAGCCATGAAATATAAGTATGGCTTGTTGCAACAGCCAGATCCCTGGCTCAATTGATTTAATTTCAGAAGGAAATTATGACTTACCACTTGATCATGCAGCTGAAGTGTTCCAGCCGAAGAAAGAGATATACCGCTAAAGTTTTCATGTCAGCACTAGTGTACCTATGTTTTCTTATAGGGAATAAAAAATAAAGAAGAAGAAGAAGAAGGAAACAAGCCCATAAACTAAACTTAAGGATAAATTCAGATCAACACTTTGTAGGGAGTTTCATGTTTAAAACTAAGATTTCTTTAATAATTTTTTCTCAAGAATTGAAAAATGAAAAGAGAAAGAGGAAAGAAGGGAAATATTTATTAGAAAAGGAAAGAAGATTGTTAGAAAAAAGAAAAGATAAAGATATAAGATCATGTATACTTGAAAGTGACAGCTAATCCTCAAATTTATACTAACCAGCATACATAATCTCGTTGCATGTATATATGTTGAGGAAGAGTGGGAGTTAGGGGGTTGCCGCTGTGAGAGATGTAGGAGGGATGGATAAATTAAGACCTAAAGGGTCTAATTCTAATATTATTCTAATTCTAAGTCCTTAGAAAGGTTTTTCTGATTTGTATTATTAGAGAATATATTTTGCAGCAACAATAAAGAAATAAAGGATAGTAGAATTAAGTGGTGCAACTGAACTAGCACCTTTGATAAGAAGTTTGAATCTAGAAGAACTTGACATGGATGTGAAGTTTGTTAATATTGGTTTTATGCCAATCTTTCTAGCTCAGGGAAAATGGCATCATCAAGCTCTTACAATTCTCCTTGTGCTGCCTGCAAATTCTTGAGGAGAAAATGTATGCCAGGATGCATCTTTGCGCCTTACTTTCCACCTGAAGAGCCTCAAAAATTTGCAAACGTGCACAAAATATTTGGTGCTAGCAATGTGACTAAGCTCCTTAACGAACTACTCCCTCACCAGAGAGAGGATGCAGTGAACTCCCTTGCCTATGAAGCAGAGGCTCGTGTTAGGGACCCAGTTTATGGCTGTGTAGGTGCCATCACTTTCCTTCAGAGACAAGTTCAAAGGCTTCAAAAAGAGCTTGATACTGCTAACGCTGATCTACTCCGTTATTCCTTCACTGAAATCCCTCCAGCTTCTCTTTCTGTGCCTCCAGGACTAACACCAGTTCAACAAATACCCCAAAGGAATTTTAGTACAAGAATTGGTAATGAAGGAAGTGGGTTATATCGCCAATCTCCTACTGCTTATTCTTTTCCTTATTCTCTTCCATGGACTGATACCTCTTCGGAGGACTTCAGTGATGGTGGAGGAGGAGGAGGAGGAGGAGGAGGAGTAGGTAATATGTGAATTAAGTTTTCAGTATTTTACCCCATCTAGGGTTTATACTTTTTGAGGCATGACCTGCAACATTCTGATGGCGTGATGATATTATATATATCTATTATGGACTCTGGCTATGTAGCCTTAATTGGACTCTTCCTAGCTAGGTCTACTATGTCTCTTAATTTTATTTGGTGGGTTTTCTTTTCTAGATGAGAGCATGTATTGTTTATTGCTTACCATGAACTTTGGTAGTCTTTTTCAAAATCTTTTAAGTGTGGCTTTAGAGCCTAAATAAGTCGGAAGAACATGCATAGTATAATGTATGGCTACTAGACCTCTTAGTGTGTATTCAGTGCAACTCTAGGCATGTGCAATGTGAAGCGTAGTTTACATATTTCTCTGTCATTATTTATGATTAAGAATAAATGAGCGATTAGCATTACTTGATTGTAAAGCCTAACTCTATGTTTTAGACGCTTGTTCCTACTCAGGCTATATATTCCTGCCCGTCTTTTCCACTTAGCTTGGACCTCCCTTTACTTTCATTTTGTGTTTTTACTCTAACATTTACCTCAGTTTAGCTTATTCTAAACTATTGATTTGAATATTGTTTTCCTTTCTTAAGTACCGGAGTTAGTAATTAGTAGTTCTCATAATTAGTTTTGCCTTAGCTCAATAGATCGTAGTTTCCCTAAATATTAAGGCACCTAAAATAAAGTCAGTGACTGGTAGAATTGAACTACTTACTGGCAAAGCCACTGAGATTGGTCTAGTCATAAGAAATTTAGGTAATTTGTATTAGGTTTTATGTTTAATTTTTAGTATTGTATATAAAAAAAAAATTAGTTAGTGGCAATAAAAATGTCACACGGACACAAAGACAAGATATTAAGCTTCAGTTCATATATCATGAAGTCTAGTATAGACTTTTCAAGTAGAAGTCTGTCATCCTGATCATAATCCTATACCACATCTTATTGGTAGCTATAGTCTTTTTAGTTGATGTTTGGTTGAAGATTTCTTAAAATTTACCTATGCAAATCAAATTGACAAAGTAAGAAAGCAATGTTTGGTAGAAGGTTTTACAAAATTTTCCTAGGTATTGTATTTGCATAGCATTCCTTATTTGTTCATAGAAAGCAAGGCAAAGTTACTATTTAGAAAGACAACTTGAAGGTGGTATTTGCCATTTAGCTAGCTAAATGGCAAAAGAACAACCCACTAGTAGACTTAAATACCCTCATCTTAAGTGCCAAGGTTTAACTTTTTTTATGGGGTTATATTTGTAATTTGAAGTTGTTTGTCAATCTATATTTTACCTCAAACCAAACATAGACTTTATAAATCTTACCTAATTTGCCCGGTAAAATTTTTTCTAACCAAACAACTTTTTTTACATTTTCTTACAAAACTCATTTTTCAATCATTTTCCTATTAATTACACTTCCCTAGTATTCAAAAATTTTCTCCTCCACTAAATGCCCCTTAGAATTTTTTGGAAAAATAATTGGGCATTGCGTATGGTGTTCGATGAACTCAACTAACAGGTAAAACGAGCAGTGTTTTTCTGAACTTGTGTCTCTGCTGCAATCCAAACTAGTTTGAAATGTAGCTTTCATCATGTACTGAGAAAAAGGAGGGATGATGAATCTCGGTCTAAAACATTGTCTTCCCGTGAGACTAAGGCTGACCTCTATCCCTACATTTCTTCAATAAAAAAAAAAATCATAAATTGTGAGCCACAGTCGCTGTCCTTGTTGGATTCAATACAAAAAGTAGTAATAGTAGTAGTAGTTCACTCTTTAGGGTTTTCAGCTTTTCTTTCTCTCTCTCTCCTCTCTACGATTCTAAGATGTACACTTATAGCTAGCCCTTCGAAACTGTTACTTTCAACCACCAACACACACCTCCAGACAACACAGTGAAGGAGTATGACCCCCCCCTCCCCTCTCTCTTCCTTCATAGACTGCAGCTATATATGTTTACATCAACTTGCAACTTGCATGCACATGAATTAATATCCAATTATTTTAGATGGCTAACTATAGATATAAAAATGTTATGTAGTTGTTATACAAAAAAAAAAAAAAAAAAATGTTATGTAGTACCACCATGATCATTTGACAGAGAGTTATTCTAATTTAATTAATGATCTCGAATTTGATCTCCGAATATATAACTGTACTAAAATTTAGTAAATAAAATTTTGTTACCCTTATAATTTTATCCGGCTTGAACTAGGATTAATCAGCATCTACCGAATGATTTATAAAATAGGAAATACATAGCTTCATTAAATTAGCGAGGAAAACCATAGTAATCTTTATACATCTTTTTCATTGAATTGTTTTTGTCTGGGCAAGTGTTAGTTTACAATTTGACAGGTAAAATTCTGAACCGATCCTGGTGAGATCAGAATGCCAGAAATGGCAGCATTAAAAAAATTACTTCTTAATCCGAGCAAAAAAATAGGGATAGGGTTAGGTTTTTTTTTTTCCCTTTCTCCCATGATCAGTTCAATTCCCGGAAGAAAAGCAACAGTTAAACCTTTCATCTTCCAAAAGAAAGCAAGCCGTCATTTTATACCATATACTTGTTATTATAAATCTTCCAAGAAAAGCCACTAGATTGATCCAATATTGAGGAATTTGAATAGATTGTATTATAGATTATGTATTTAATTTTTATTTGTATTAAAAAAAAAATCTTCCAAGTTAAACAGCTAAACCAATAATGTATAAATTTTTGTGAAGAGAAGAAAGAACAAAGAATAGAACTTCAAATCGTAAAATAATCCTTATTTTCTTCGATTATATCTTTCTCTCTCTTATTTATGAAAAATATTCGTGTGTCTATGCAATCTCAGTAAGCACAGAGCTAAATGCTCAAAACCTCTTCTGTTTCTCCCTTCAGTTTTTGTCAGTCACTTTACTCCCTCTCTCAGAACACAGACACTGTTACACTTACAAAAATCAAGAAAAGTCAGAACCCTCTTCCTTCCCGCTCTCAAATACACACACAAAGAAAGAATATAGGCATGAGGGACACTAGGGCCTGGCAGAGGCAAGACCTCTTCATAGCTATAATAGCAAGAGTCACGTCCATTTTTTTAAGACCTCCAATTCATCACCACCTCTTTCTCACTCTTCCTTTCCCTCTATATGACAAGTACCCTGACTCCATTTTCCTCCTCGAGATCACCAACAGCCTCGACTTTTTCTTTCTTGGAATTTTTGGTGAACCAAATCTAATCCATGATCAACTTTCCCTCAGAATATCTCCCTCTCATCCCGTCAAGTCCCTTTTAATTGGTATATTAGATTATATCATTGGACATTTTTGCATTGGAAAATACAATTTAGTAATTTGTGACAAATAACCAAAGTAAAGGGTGTGATATATGCACTGTTGTGGCTCAGAGAAAAAAGTGAGTATGGCTTTCTGAACTTGTTTCTCTGAATGAATGAATGCAATAGTTATAATTTCAGAATCCATCAAACCCATCAATCTTCTTCACTCTGCACTAAGACGTGGAAAAGAAGCAAAGAGCAGGTGAAAATTGGCAGGGTGAGGTTTTACCAAAGGGCAAGCATGTGGAGGGGGGGGGGGGGGGGGGGGTCCTATCCCTGTTTAAGCCCCCACAACAAAGTCTTTGTGCCCTCGTGGACCTAAGAAAGGCCACAATGGGTCCAGGTATCTTTCGTGTTATATGGTTTCAACTTTCAATGCTCTCTTTCTCACTCTCGCTCTCTCTTTCAACATAGACTCACAGACCCAAACATGTACTAATGTACTTGCGTCATCCATAACATTATGGTCATGAGAGACAGACAAGTCTATTGTTGTCCAAATGGTAGTCTTTACAATTACAGACAGTCAATGAGACAAGTACGCGTGCACATGTGATGTGTCAATTTCAATTGTGTTTACCAAAAATATTCTATGTTTGAAAACCACTACTCAACTGCTGATGAAATTGATCATGATTCATGAGGTTACTCTGACTGTGAATGCTGATAATAACTTATCACCACTGTTTTATTTCTCTTGGGAACACCGATCAAAATGTTATTTTTCATCAACTTTTTTACTTAAATGACATGCGAACAGTGTTATTTTCTAATCTGCCACGGAAGCAAATTTGCTACAGCAGGTAACGAACTCGGTTTGCTGACGTGTCACATTTCTAGTGGTTAACAAGTACCAAGTGAAAAAAAAAAAATATGACGGTAGCGAACTTGGTTAAAACCAAGTTAACCAAGTTCGCTACGCCGTGTAATAAATTTGGTGTCCACTAAAGACGTGACACGTCAGCAAATCGAGTTCGCTACACCGGGTAGCGAACTTGCTCCCGTGACAGATTGGGAAATAACGCTGTTCGCATGGCATTTAGGTAAAAAAATTGGTAAACAGTGACATTTTGGTCATTGTTCCTTTCTCTTGCTGTGTTTATTTGACTCTCTCGTTGCCCGTTGCCTGTTGGGAATAAGAGGGATTTCTTGAATATTGCATGGACTCCAATAATAATATTGTAACTACAAAATTATAGTAAATAATATTAAGAGGGGACTTCGTAAGTGGAAAAAATCATGAATTTAATTTTTTAAAGTTTTGGGTTAAAACTTGACGTTGAAAATATTTATTGTGATGGGAAAAGTGTTTGTCATTTTAAATGACACAACTTATATCCTTTCACTCTCACAAAGAGGTGGGACCCACACCTTTATTTTTTTGTCCACTCTCTCCTCCTTTATCTAACTTAAAATGACATAACTTTACATCCTTAAAAATGACATAACTTTACATCCTTTAAAATGACACACACTTTACTCTATTGTGATTGGTATAACGTAACAGGGTGTATTGGATCCGGGTTTCAAAGGATTTTAATAGATTATTTTTGAACAAAAAATTCCATTGCCATTCAATTAGGATTTTAAAAGATTGAAAAAAAGTCGCGTTAGAGTCCATCCAAATCCGTTGGTACTCAATTAGGATTTTAAAAAAAGGAAAAAAAATTTTGTGGTATTCAAAAATCTAATGATTTTAATTGATTTTCTATTGTTGTGGATTTCGTAAGACTTTTTAGTAAGAAATATAAATAGGATGTCTCTCTTATA